GGTGGATCAAAGAAAGTTCAATATAACGCGGTTTTACCTATAACGCGGTAAGATTTTTTGGCTCCCGAGGACAGCGTTATATCGGGGTAGAGGTGTAGCTGTTTTCAGACACAGCTTTTGCCAAACAGCTACAATTCTTCAGTGCAGGCTCCTTGCCCTTGCACCTGCATCACTGCTGGGCCCGCCCAGCCATAATCTGGCCCCAAATCCTAGACCACACCAGGCAGAGGAAGAGGAAGGCAGATCAGAATTCCTGGCTTGCTCTGCCAACAACCCAGTAGTGTTTGAGTCATCAGCAGGCTGATAAGTTCCTCCAGCCCCCTTCCCTGGCCTGCCAGTGTAGGAGTGAGGAAAGAAACACCAACAAGTTCTTCTGTTGAGAATGCAGGAGGAAAAAAAATGCTTTTGTGCCCAAACTCTGATTCCTGCAAACACAGCTCACTACAGAGCCTTGTCTACACCAGGATTTGGGGGGCAAAACTTTCCCACTGTTGCTAACATTGGTGCCACCCTATCAATAGGAGCAATGACAGGGCATTAGCAGTCATTGGTGTTTTTTAACAGTGTATCATTTAGATGTGCTCTGAGCAGAAAGGGAGGAAGGAGAAGAAAAGATGGAAACATTCAATAAAGAGAAAAAATTAAGCTAAAGATAAACAGATATTGAAAAGTGTGAAGGAAGGAATGGATACATTAAGATGGGGTAAGTCCTCTGCCCTGCACCAAGCCTGAGTAAACAGGGTGAGCGGAAGGAGAACAAATCCCTCACCCCCTCCACAGCCAGAGAGAAACAGAGCTATTCTACCACTAGTGTAGCACCCAAGGGAGCAGCAGTTCATACACAGGAGTTTGGTCAGCAGACCCACATATATGTGTTATCAGGGATTCATGCCCCCATCTTCCCTGCAAATCCTCCCTGCTCAATGGAACCCCACACCCACGGCACAGTTCTGTTGCCTTTCCAGTGACATGTGCCCAATAGGTGTAAGGGGGCAGGATTTGCCCCTGTACAGCAGAAGAAAAGTGGAGTGAAAGAAGGGAACTGAGGAAGAAAAGAGCAAGGGAAACAGTATGGAAAGGCAGAAAGTGTTAATAAATTTGCTATAAACTCAGATTAAAATGACGGATAACCCATGTATATATTATTGTTATGGCAGGTGTTCACATGTAGCCCTGTTATCCCCAAGGGTCTCCCAAATTCTTTTCCTTCGCATACGGACAAGCTTTGAGTATTGGAAGAAATGCTTGTGTTAGATTTTGGTTACCCACGTTACCAGGTAAAGGGAGCTGTGCTAGTGGCAGGAGAATTTGTTGTCTGCCTTGGTCTCAGATTAGAGTCAATTCCTGAAGCAGAGTTACTCTCCAGGAACCAGGCCTTTGTGTTGGGTTGAGATTCCTGGAAATTGGATTTGCCCTGTGGGCTGTTTGATCATCTCATACCAGATCTGATGTACATATGTAAATAAAGCAACTTACGCTTAGAATGTACCAGATTCTGCAATGCTGATTTCTCTTCCATTGGGAAGCTAGACTGCAAGATTCCAGTGTCTGTCACCACTCAGTGGTCTTCCGGGGGTACATCAACTAATCTAGATATTTGCCTAGTTCTACAACAGGCTACATAAAAAGCACTAGCAAAGTCAGTACAGACAAAAATTTCATACAGACAATGACTTGCTTATACTGCTCTATATACTATACACTGAAATGTAAGTACAAGATTTATATTCCAATTGAGTTATTTTATAATTATATGGTAAAAATGAGAATCTAGCCTGTAAAATGGGATGTGTATTATTATTATATTGATAATTATGGCAAACCCTAAGTTAATAGTTAAAACAAAACATGTACATATAGAGCCAAATTCCACTGTCAGCTGTACTGATGTAATTGAGAGCAGAATGGTATAATACTGTGCCGAGATAGTTGTTCTTCCACAACACAATGTAAAGCATACCTAAGGAATGCACCTAGCATATAAAATATTAGACAAGCTTCATAAACTCTCAGAGAGCTTCCATCTCCTCTCCCGGCTCAGTGACACCCACAGAAGAAGGCTTTATGGGAAGAAATCTGCATGAAGATCCCCTTACAGAGATCTCCCACACCATGGGCTGGGATTTGCTCCATGTGGAGAAAGCCTCAGGACCCACACCGCAAATTGGCAGAGCCCAGAGGCCAGCTCCTTCTGTGTGGAGGCCCTGATCCCTTACTGCAGCCATGCTACCAAGCATTCTCCCTAGTCGTGGCTGTCCCCGGGACCCGATAAGAAGGCACCCAGGAAAAGACAATGCTGTCCCAGACTGTATTCTCGTTGCTTGGCAGGACCGGCTCTAGGCACCAGCAAAGCAAGCACGTGCTTGGGGCGGCACAATTACAGGGGCAGCATTCCGGCCATTCTTTTTTTTTTTTTTTTTTGCTTTGGCAGTTGCACTCTCTGAGCTTTTTTGTTGTTGCTTGGGGCGGCAAAAAACCTAGAACCGGCCCTGTTCCTCGGTGAGCTCTGCAGAACTGGCAGGCGCAATGTGCAATCACTAGTCCCAATACCAGTCTGCCTCAGATTTTATAGATCTAAGAAAACCTCTTACAGTGTCAGTTTCCCCCCTCAGCACTGCTCAGATTTGAAGAGGCAGAGCTCACATGTCCGAATATGCTAAATTAAACAAGCCTAAGTTTGTTCACCTTCGAGCATGTTGTAACATCTGTTTCTCCAGGCTTTTACTGAGGGGGTGGGTTAACTATGTTGAGAGAAGAGGGGTTTACTCTCGGTATGCAATGTTTTTTCTTTGTTGGCATTGCTTCAGCCTAAATTCTTTGTAATAGATTCAGTTGCACCTAAAGCTCTAGGAGGTTGCGAGCCCATAGATCAGAATAAATCCACAAAAATGGAAGGAAGGATGGTCCAGCAGTTAGGGCACTAGCCTCGCCCAGCCCTTAGGAGACCTGACTTCAATTTCCTGCTCTGCCACAGACTTCCTGTATGACCTTGAGCAAGTCACTTAGCCCCTCTGTGCCTTGGTTCCCCCTCTGTAAAATGGGGATAATGGTACTTCCCTACCTCAGAGGAATGTTGAGAGCATGAGTATGTTAAAGGTTGGGAAGCACTTTGAGATCTGCTGATGAAAAACTAGGTATTATTAAATAAGAAGCTCAAATTTTCCAGAAAATGTGTCTAGAGGAGAGCAAAAAATAAAAGTGAAACAGAGCTTTGCTACGAAGAATCCACAATGTTGCTCATACTCACAACAGCTTTGACTTTCTCTACACAATGGTTTTTACAAACGTTAAAAACCCAGTGAACCTGCTTCTGATTTCAATTCACCAGTGTAGAGGAGTAACTCTATTGAAGCAAATGGCGTCTGGGCATAAAACCAGTGTATGCAGCAGGAAAATCAAGCCCAATAACTTGAGCTATGTCTCCACTACATTTTTTTTCTTTACAATTTCCCACCGAGGCAATTCCACTGGTGGTAGCAAGGGTTGGAGTCTTACCTCAGACCAGCAGCTTGGCCAACTCTCATGATTTTACCACGAGTCTCAATAACTGGTGTTTTTCTTAAAGCCCCAGCTCTTGGAGTCTGGTGATTATATAAGAATCTCAGCTTTCATTTTTTCAAAAGTATGTTTTTAGCCTTTGTGGTTTCAAAGAAATTCTTGAAAACATGAAATGAGCACATGTAAGTGCTCAGAAACAAAGTAAATAAAAAGAGCCCAATGTATTATTTTTTTTTTAAAAATCATGATTTTTAAGTCAATCTCATGATTTTGGGGCCTGACTCATGATTTTTGAATGCTGGACTAATGGCACTTTATCCACCATGTCATCTGAACCGGCTCAGAGGAGGTCTAGAAAACATGGTAGTCAAAATGTGGGTGGCCACGGGCACCTTGTCTACACTAGAGCACACATGAAATTTCAAGAACCAATGTCTAGGCTACTCAATCCAAGTTTACACCTGAATCATGTGCCAACACACTATGGCTGCCCAGTGTGGATGTGACGGTTAAAAAAAAAAGTGGTTTAGCCCAGGTAGGAGCCCAAACTACAGTCCATTATTGAAATCTGTTCTATGAGGGCTTGTTCCTACCCACACTGGCTGCCAAATTGTGTTTGGTAGTAGACAAGACCCCAGATCTAATTCACAGATAGCTCCAGCCATCGCCCTCCTTTGCCCACTGCCCATCCCAGCATGGAGACAGGTACACTGGGATTCTCTCAGGAGTCACTCCACCCCCTTTCTGACTCCTTTACACTGCTGGAGTGGCACAAGGCGTCCTGGTCCACGACTGGGGCTTCTACCTGCTATGAGACTATATATATATATATAAATTAATAATGGAGGCAAGAAGCTGACTCTAGGTCTTTCTCTGTCTCCTGTGAAGCACCTCAAAGGGGCTCCAGCACTGTCAAATAAAATAACTATAAACAATGTTATTTACTGACTGTCTTGTTTGCTGGCAAGCAAGCTGAAGATGAAGCAATGAGGGAGCTTCACTCCCTGGCCCATATCATCCAGATCAGCCCTGTAGCCTGCCAGCTCAGGCTGGTGGGATCTCAAAGCATCCTTCATGCCAACCTAAGGCTGTTTCGGCACCCATGGCCCCTCCAACTCACCCATGTGAGTGCAGCAAAGGTGAAATGTTTATCAGTTGGACTGAGATAAGGTAACCATTGAGCAGGACTCAGGCTGTGGGCACAGGCACTTGTGAGCAATACTTTTTGTAGGCCCTACAGAAATAAAACAGGCAGCACCCTTCATTGCCCTGAGCACTGCATTAAAAATACCTAAACAGCTGGGGTTTCATTGTGGTCTGCACAGCTCGCGTTCAGAGGGGCTCACGCTCTCGGCCCCCCTAGTTGCTCCGGGCGCGTTCCCGCCCCTTGCCTGGCGCGTTCCCGCCACTCAGCTGCTGCTGCTGCGAGGGAGCGCGCGGCCCCTGTACTAGCGCCTGCCCTGGAGCGGAGCGTGCGTGTCTCCAGCCGGGCAGCGGTGACTGAGCGGGGAGCGACAGCGCGGCCATGCACAGCTAGCGCCCGCCCGCTCGCCCAGCTGCCTCCGTTACCCCCCGGGGCAGCGCTCCTGGGCACCCCCGGCCAGCTGCTCGGAGTGGCTCAGACACACGCAGGGGCTCAGCGGCGTGCCACGGGGCGCCCCAAGGATGGAAGGGGGCGCGTATGGAGCGGGCAAAGCCGGGGGCGCCTTCGATCCCCAGACCTTCTTCCGGCAGCCTCACACCGTCCTGCGGGTGCTCTCCTGGGTAAGGGCACGAGGCGGGGGCCGATCCCTGGGGGCAGGCAGCGGGCTGGGGGGAATGCCCTTCCCCGGCCGCGCTCCGCAATGAGCCGCGTGCCCTGCGCTCGGGGGTCCCCGCTCCCCCCCACACACACCTGCCGGGCCCCGCAACCCCCCCACGCACACCGGCCGGGCCCCATCGGGGAGGGGTGGGGGGCGAAGCTGGAGCCGGTGCTGCAAAGTCACCTCTGCCCAGGGAGAGGCGGCCGCCCCGCTGGGAGCCCCGGCTCAGGTGGCGGCTCCGGTGCCGGTCGCGCGTGTCCCCCGCTGCGGCTGCCCGAAGATGGGGTGTTTCTGCAGCAGGGTGGGGGCAGAGCCCGGGAGCCGAGAGGAGGGTGGAAAATGGGACGTGATCCAAACACAATCCCGCGGGGGGATCCCGTCCGGGCGCGGGCCCCCTCCCCAGGGTAGGATCTGGTGCAATGGGGGCGTCCCCGTTCCCCCGGGTCAGTCAGTGTTGTAGGGACATTTTCAGGGAGGAGCTTGTTTGTTTTGTTGAAAAGGGGGACCTGGAAACACTGGTGTCTGCGGGGGGGTGGAGATGATGATTCTGCACGGCAGCGCCTCTGCCTCGCCAGCCCGTCTAATTCTGTCTGCTCTGCTTGCTGCTGGAGACAGGGAGCAGCGAGGGAGGGGGCTTGTACGAGATTACGCGGGGCGGGGGGGAGCGTGTTGTCCTTTCTCGCCTGCCTGGCTCCCTTGCCTTCTTTCCCACTCTGCAATGTGTTGTGGTTCTGTGCAGGAGGGGGTGAGACGGCTCGGTGAGAGGGGGGAGGGGAAGGGTCTTTTCGGCCTCTTTTCCTTGCTACGGTGGGGGGAGGAGGGTCTCTCATCTTGTAACACTGATCCCATGGCTGTAGCTCTGTGCGGGAAGGTCATGGGGATTAAGGGAGCGAGCTGCAAACACAGAGCTGGAGAGAGAGATTGCGTTAAGAAGGGGGTGGGGGCAGTGTGAGGAGGAGGAGAGTGTGAAGAGAGAGAGACACACACACACCAAGGTGGACAAGCATGAGCCTGAGGTGCCCCAAAGCAGCTCCCTGTTTTTGTTTTTTTAAATGTATATGGAAAAAATGGAAAGGAAAGGGCAGATAGGGGGTGGGGGGGACACGGGTTGATCGGATTGGCCAGCCTGTTGCTGGCACTAACATCCCATAGCCAGATCAAACTCTGTGCCGGTGCAAAGGAGGTGCTCCGTCTGCTGGTGTGACCAAAGTGGCACAATCCATTTCTGTCAAGGAAGATGCCCCTTCAGCCTGATTGCAAAGCCTAGCTGCACCCTGAGATCCCTGGGGATATGATTAATATGGTCAGTTGGTCTGTCGGACCGGGCCTATGTACGGTACAGTACAGCATGGTTGTTACTGAGGGACGGGGAGTTCAGTAAATCTCCTGGCGCAAAGCTGCTATGGAAATCCATTATGAAGTGATGGATGCACACTCCCCCCCTCTACCCCCCCCCCATCGCCTGGCTTGGGGAAAGCAGCAGAGAGTGTTCCAGCCAAGGATGATGGACATGATGTGACCTAAAAGGATTTTTCCAACCCTAATCTCTGAGACAGAATTTCCTTTCCCTTTTTTGTAATACCACGACTTCACTCTAACACTGCAGGCAGGGTTCTGGCTTCCCAAAGCCAGGAGGGAGAGAAAACAAGAGACGGTCTCTGCTGTGCACTTCTTTCTGCTCCATTGTTTCTTGTACTCTGGCGGCTCCTCCATGAACTCCCATACTTGTTCCATAATGACTGCCCAGCCATGACAGACTACCCTGGGTTTAGCATTCCCTTGGATGCCCTACTGTTTCCACACAACCACCAGCTCTGTCTCCTTGACCTTGACAGAGGATGGAATGGGATTGACCCTATGCAGAACATTACAGACCTTTACTTAGCTATAGAAACAAATGTCCCACTGCAGAACATTGGCAGTACCCTGGGGTCAGCATCCCAACAAGGACAGCCTGCTTGTTAGTCACGGGGAGAAATGAGGTGTGCACCTTTTTCTCCCCCTTACTTCATTTTCTTCTCACCAGTTCCTATTGGCCCATTTTATCTCCTCTTTAGCACCTCTCCCCCAGTGCTGCTGAGCCAGAGCTTTGAGTTCACAGGCTAACCCAAAACATTTGTAATGATATGCTGTGTATTATTAGTGTTTATTGTGAAGCACCAGAGGTATGCCTGGCACTTTACCATCACAGGGTAACACCTGGCCCCATAGGTGTTGGAACTAGGGGTGCTGGGGTGCTGCTGCACCCCCTGGCTTGAAGTGGTTTCCATCATATCCAGGATTTACAGTTTGGTTCAATGGCTCTCAGCACCCCCACTATACAAATTGTTCCAGCACCTCTGCCTGGCCCCTGCCCCATAGAGCATGCTATCTAATTTCGATGAGTGCAGTACACACCTTTAAAGGATGAGGCACAAGAACTCAGGTAGGTTGTAGAAGATGGCGTATGTTGTTTAACGTTGAGAAGAAGATGGGCGCCTGGTGACAGGGTCTGACACACAGGAGGCTTAGGCCAGTGTAGAGAGGTTGGCATCACTAGAGTGAGACTCTGGGCACTGTCAGGACACTGGTGTGAGGGAGCTCATGTTTCCAGACTGCTGCTGGTGATAGGAAGTAGCAGCTCCCCAGTACGCATGTAAGGATGCTTGTTGTAGCACGTGGGCAGAATCTTTCTTTCTTTACACCTGACAAAAAAATTAAACCAATTTGGTGCAGGCAAAAGGTGTTGGCTCAACAGTCCTGGAGAACAGAGTCCTCTACGTTTTCCCCAAACCTGCTTACCAAGGGCAGTAACCACTCAAACCTCCGGCACACTGCTCCCCATCAACATGCCTCAGCTTGGAAAAAGCAGCACCTACTGGAGCGTGGAGGAGTTAATTGTACATAATCTGTTCAGTCCCTAGCCTCCTTGTGGAGACCCCCCCACAAGGGGGCCAGTGGAGATGGGGGGACTTGTCCACTGATAACCAGACTGAGACAACCAACTCTGTTCACACAAGCCATGCTACGCATAGGGAAATTGGGGCACAGAGAAGTTAAGCAACCTGCCCAGCATCATCCAATGAGCAGGCAGGGCTAAGAATAGAACGCACAGATTCTGAGTCTCAGGCCTAGATCACTAGGTCACATTGACAGGCGTTGTATTTGCATTTTACCTTAGAGGTAAAAGGCTTTGTCTCCCCTTCACACAGACCCTGTCTTTTTGCTAGTACTTGTGCATTTTCACCTCTGGCAGCAACAGTAGGAGCCCTAGTGTAGATGAGGCTTTTACCACCATGTCACGTAGACTTGTTCTTAGTAGGCAGGCCAGGTCTACGCTAAAACGTTAGAGCGACTCAGCTACGTTGCTCGGAGGTGTGAAAAATCCACACCCCTGAGAGACATAGTTAAGCCAACCTAACCCCCAGTGTAGACAGTGGATTAACTACAGCAATGGGAGAATCCCTCCTGGCGATATAGGTAGCATCTACACTTAAACTGCTACAGCAGTGCAGCTGCTGCGGTTCAAGTATAGATCTAGCCTTAGATGACACAGTGGGTAAAATGCCAGTGGCTCTATACTAGAGCTCCCATAAGTGTTAGCAGCATTGGAAAGCTTTACAGAAAACAGGCTTGAGTCATCCAGTCACACCCTTACCCTGACCTGTGATTTGCACTGAAATCAGTGATCTAGAGATGACAGCCTCTTTATACCATTGTCAGCTACACTGAGCAAGCCATTCCCCGCTCCACGTTTCAGATAAGAAGCTATTCCCATCTTCTGCCACACAGCTACATATGCTGGTTTTGGGGCCTGTGTAAGTCTTTAAGGCAGGATGTGACATGCCCAGGGTGGATAATAATCAATTATTTAAAAAAAAAAAAAAGGATTTTTTTTTTTATTTAAATCTGATTTTTTTGATAAAATGCTTTTTGAGGAAAAAACCTACCTAAAGATAGTTTTAATTAAGATACATTATAGCTCAAAGAGATCTTATCATGAAATAGGGATTATAAATTCTAATTCTATAGAATTATAGAAATAGAGACAATATATTCATGTAATGTTTAAGAAAAGTTTTGTTAATGAGTTCCAATAGTTCATGGATTAGGGACCCAATCTTATGGGATTCCAGGGGCTTCTGTATAGATTATTTAGGTTAATCTTTCTATCTACCCAATGGGACTCAGTGCTTAGTCTGAACAGGGGTGGGCAAACTTTTTGGCCTGAGGACTGCATCGGGGTTCTGAAACTCTATGGAGGGCCAGGTAGGGAAGGCTATGCCTCCCCAGACAGCCTGGCCCCCACCCCCTATCTACCCCCTCTCTCTTCCCACCCTCTGACTGCCCCCCTCAAAATCCCCGACCCATCCAACCCCCCCTGCTCCTTTTCCCCTGACTGCCTCCTCCCGGGACCCCCTGCCCCTTATCCAATCCCCCCGCTCCCCACCCCCTTACCATGCCACTCAGAGCACCAGGACTGGCAGCTGCGCCGCCCGGCTGGAGCCAGCCACGCCGCCGTGCAGTCTAGAGCATTGGGGCCGGCTTGCGGCTCTCGCAGCTGAGCTGCCCAGCAGGAGCTCGCAGCCCTGCCACCCAGAGCACTGGGGAGCTGAGGCTGCAGGGGAGGGGCCAGGGGCTAGCCTCCCCGACCAGGAGCTCAAGGGCTGGGCGGGATAGTCTCAAGGGCCTGATGTGGCCCGCAGCCCATAGTTTGCCCACCTCTGGTCTAGAAGATACCATCAGAGATGCTTAGTTTTGCAGTTCTCAAACTGTGGATTTGCTTGTTAACAGCAAAAATGTTTTAAAATAAATAAATAGGGGTGAGAAATAGTTAAATAAAACAATTTAAATGTCTGTCTGGTGATGTTCTCCTCCTAATACAGCATGGCAAGAAAATCCTCCAAATATTAATGATTAACCTGTTGAATTGGAGATAGTTCACCTCCCAGTGACTTCATAAATATCTGCTTCAGTTAGCTC